AAGATAAAAATGTGTAGCTGATGCAAGCCCTCGACCGAGATCATTGGAACTTCGCCCTATAGAACGAACGAAAACAAGAAAAGGATATACAAGAGCTACAGAGTCAAAAGCTTTACCCTGGCGATGCATTTCTTGTCAGCTCCTTCTCGACTAAACCAGCCAAGTAGCGCCCTTCGATCGTGAAAACTCCCATTTGTATGAGAAGGGTTCTCTGCTAAACCCTCTTGGAATCGAAAAGGAAACCACAAAAACCATAGTTATGTTACCTTTGAGCATGGAACTCTCTTCCAATTTACATGGCAGCATATGTTTAAGAAGGCTTCTAGGAATGCATAGCTCGGAAACCAAAGGTTGGAAGACACTCAAGAGAAGAGATATAAATCCCATAAGCATCAGCTCTAAGCACACGAAGTGTTCAAATATAAACTCACTCGGCTTTAGAAGAAAGAAAACACCATACCTTCTTTCATCTTCTCGAGAGCTTGACTTAGAGGCTTTTGGTTCTTCTTCTTCAATCTCTACATGAATCACACAACCTGATCAATCAATCCAGTGAAAAGAAATCACCAGCTACAAACCTTTCCACACTGGTGAATTCCCCTCTCGAGCAGCAGCGAGAGGAGCACGAAGACTGTGCACACTCCAGCGACAGCCCAAGTTGGAGTTTGCTCCAGAGAACTATGCTCCAAAAAACCACCACCTCCGTGCTCCATTTCTTCTCGCCCGAGCGCTCGTGGATTAAATTCTATCTCTTGACCCCATCCTCTTTATTGTTTGTAAGCTCCTTGCCATGCCACATTCCATGAGATCCTTGCGGGAGTTCTCACCAAGATCATGTGACACTCCAAAGCTAAAAGTCTGTGAAGTACAATACGTACGCTAAGCTAACTCTTATTACTTGTAGTATAAAGAACCATAGCTCTAAGAAATATTTGACGATCATATAATAACACCCTTTATACTGGACATCACGCAAACTCTTTCGTTTTACTCGCCACTGGGGAGGAGCCTGCTGTTTCTGGGAGCCACGTCCACCACGGTTGTGGATCGAGACGAGCCCGACGCGGACTTGAAGAGCTTGGAGGTTGCTGGCGGGATGATCCGCGATGGCGAGAGAACTTGCGTGAGCGACGAGAAGTAGGACTCGGTTCCCAGCCGGTTTTGGAGCCAGCCTCGGCTGCCATCGAATCCGTCGAGGACGGTCCAAGTGCTCTTGAAGCCCAGGCCGGACAGCGATTTCGCGACGACTTTGGAGATGTTGCCAGTGCTGCCAAACAATGCGCGAGATATGAATGAAGCTATCATGAAAAGATGGAAGGAGTGTTCGTTCTTACGAGTCTAGGATGACCAGGTTTGTCCCTTTGTTAACTCTCTTGAGCGCCGAGATCTTGATGGCCGCTAGCTCGGCCTCCACTGTGCGTGGATTGCGAAGTTGCGATCGGATATTGCTAGGGAGCTCCTCGATCCTGGAGTGAAAAACAAAAGACAAGTTCTTAGAGAGACCCAGATCGATCTGAAAAGCTTTTGACGCTCACGGTATTGCTGTGAAGTTCCTCTTAGCCCTGTTCGGCAGGCTTGGTGTTCCAGACTTGGACTTCTCTTTCTCCGATCGAACGTCAATGAGGAAATAGTTGCTGTTCGAAATGTAATCAAGCGCCTGTGGAGCCGTCAGGTCACCTGTGGCATTTCCATGCAAGTAAGAAAAATCAGCCAGCTAGTCCAGAGTCGAGGCTATGTATACCTTTGTAACCTCTAGCGGCTATTCCGAGACTCGAGAGGATTCCCGGAGCAAGCAAAAAAAGCAACACAGCCGCTCCTAGCTCACCAGCAAGGATCACAGGATCAGACGCTAGGAGCGAGCTCAAAGTTGTCGACACAACAGGTGTAGCTCCTTCGATCAGCGAGCCTGTTTGCTGGGCTGCTTGTCCAGCAACCGTGACCGCAGTCTGATCGAAAAAAGAAGAAACAGAAAATGTAACTCCACGATGAAAACTTAATGGCATTGCTAACCTGTCCAGCCTCCAGCACCGGCTTTGTATTCACACCAACGCTGTCGAGCGCTTTGATGACCTCGGACGCAACGCTGGAAGCCACCGGTGCGGCAGCCTTGATCGCTATATCAGAAGTTTTCTGGACGATTGGAAACGCTACGTCCACAAGAGGCTTGACGAACTGATAAGCTTGCTTTAGGGCTCCAGACACTACAGTGTACGTGGATCCAGCAGTGGAAGTCACAGTGCTCGCAAACTCTTGTACCTGGAGAGAAAAAAGAGAGTAAGTTCGAGCAAAGGAGAAGAGAAAAAAGAGTTAAGTTCGAGCGAAGGAGAGTTTCTTTCTTTGCTCTACTTTCTTTTGCTCTAGTTGAGAGTCGAACTCAAGACCTCCCGCTTACTAAACGGGTGCTCTAACCAGCTGAGCTACTGGAGCAAGAACGAGGGAAGAGAAATCCAAAATCTTCGCAAAGAAATCGATCGATTACCTTGTTAAACGTCCCAGCCACATCCTCCGGAGTCACGGCGTACGCTGATCCCTGCGCGGCAGTGTAGATTACCAGAGGCGCGGCCGCGATCTTGGCTCCCGTCGCCAATGCCGCCGATTTCTTGGACGATCGCTTCTCCAATCCGGCCCGGGCGCACAGCCGCTGCGCGCGAATGTAGCGCGCTGGATCGCGGTCGTACGCGCGTCGCCTGTCGAGGAGGAGCGCCTGGGATCCCAGCTGCTGGGTCGCCATGGCCGCGAGCGCTGGAAGCCACAAATTGCCCCATCGTCTGTGAAGAAAACGCCCTTACAAACGAAAGCTTCCTTATCCACATTAGATTTAATTTTTCTTTCTTCTTTCAGGACAGTCCTAGCTTCTGCGCGACGACCTTCTTCATCAAAATTGGATTGACCCTTCCATTTGTGGATCTCATCACCTGATCCAGCGAACATCAAAGGAAGAACGAATTTTATCTTGGAAAAATCTTACCTGGCCTTCGAAGAATCCTTGGAGTTTAGTTTTTCCTTTCTTGAAAGCTTCTAATTGCTTTGGATTCTCCAGTAGCACCTTGTCAACCAGGGAAGCTATCTCCGCTTCGTCGGAAATCTGTGAGAATTATAGAAGAAGCTCAAGCTTTTTACGAGGAAATGCGCAGGAAAGCTTGTCACCTGGGTGAGACCCTTGGCTTCAATCACTTCTTTCGCAGTGCCACCGTTTCTTATCAACTCGGGAAGAATCTGGAGAGCGAGCACAAAAAAATCCTATTAGTGAATGGAAGTGGCTCACGTACTACATACCTCTTTGCCGATTTTCCCACTGATCGTTCCGTCCTTGATGAGACTAACGAGCTCCGCCAGTACGCTTGGAGAGATTTTTACGTCGGAAATCGAAAGCTTCTCCGTCTTGAGATAGGCAGTGATGTCTCCCATTATCCAGTTAGCAGCCATTTTCATGTCAGCACCTTGCTCCAACGTACTATCAAAGTATTCCGACACCTGCGAGAAGAAAAAGCAACGATCACTTCGCCGTAGACGAGAGAAACGACAGAACTTACACTCTTGTCGTCAGCCAGCACAAGAACATCCTGCATGCTCAGGCCCAAGGCCTCGTATCGCCGACGAGTTTCATTCGGAAGCTCTGGCAGAGCTTCGTTGATTGAGTCAACTTGCTCCTGCTTCAATACAAGCTCGAGAAGATCTGGCTCTGGAAAGTAGCGGTAATCTGCAAGACCCTCCTTCGCACGCATAGTGACAGTTCTCTATCACACACGAAAATCTCAATTAGCTCGATCGTCAAAGACCAGAAGTGCCAATGTACCTGACTTCCTTCCTCCCACAGTCTAGTCTCTTGCACGATCTTCGACTCCAGACCCTCCTTGTGAAGAGCAACTTGCCGCAAAATCTCGAAGTCTATAGCCCGATGCATCGCGGCACACGAGTTCATGTTCTTGATTTCCACCTGTCAAGAAACTACAACTAGCCATCAAAACTTCCACTCAAAAACCAAACAACGAGGCGATATCAAACCTTGGTGCCAAAGGCTGCCTGGCCTCTGGGTCTCACAGAAACATTCACATCGCAGCGAAGCGATCCCTCGGCCATGCTTCCACTCCCAATGCCGAGACACTTTACCACTCTTGCCACCTCCGCCGCGTACTCGGCAGCTTCAATGCCGGTTCTCATGTCCGGCTCCGAGACAATCTCCAGCAAAGGAACTCCAGCCCTGTTTAAATCCACCTACAAACACATAAGAGATCTCTTCTCACAAACACGAGCAAAGAAAAACAACAAGAAGAGAAGAAAAACGTTACCAGCGAGTATGGCGAGCCGGATAGTCTTCCACCACCACCAGCATGAACAAGCTTTCCAGCGTCCTCCTCTATATGAACTCTAGTGATTCCAAACTTTCGATGCCCACCACCGTATTCCACTGGCAAATCCACTTCGATGCTTCCATGCCTGGCGATCGGGATATCAAACTGGGAGATCTGATATCCTTTGGGAAGATCCGCGTAGAAGTACTGCTTCCGATCGAATTTCGACCGCAGCGAGAGATCGCAGTTGAGTGCCAGGCCGAGCTTGACGGCGAAATCCACGACCCTCTCGTTGAGAACCGGGAGAGCTCCTGGCAGCCCCATACACACCGGGCACACATTGGAATTCGGCTGCGCGCCATACTGCGAGAGGCATCCACAGAAGGCCTTGGTGGCCGTGCCGAGCTGGACGTGCGTCTCCACACCGATCACAGCCTCGAAATCTTGCAATGCCGAGGGGATTTTGCTACTGCTGCTTGCCTGTTTGCTCGCAAGGGACGATGAGCATCGGATTTGGAGAGCTGACCTCGGGATTCTTGGCTGGGAATAGAGAAGAACGATGGATTCGCAGCTCCCCACGGCCATCGCCATCGCCATCGCCATGCCCCTGTTTTAGGGCACGCAAAAATTTGAGGGAACCCCTCGGATATTCTTAAACCTGCCACGTGGTGCGCTCGGATATTTTACGCCCTATCGCCGCCAGGGTTAGGGCATTTTTAGAGAGAGAAGAGAAGTTTCGAGAGAGGAGAGCGACGAGGAGAGCGATGGAAGTTCTGAGCGATGAGAGTGTTGTGGAGCGTGTTCTTGGATCTCCGGAGCTTCTGTGCTGCAGTGATTTCAGGAGTGTGAGAGAGGTCCTGGTAGGAATGTACGGGGTGAAAGAGTCTCTCTTTTCTGAGATCGCTCCTTTGGATGAATCTCCCCCAGATCGCGCAAGAACGGAGATCGCGCAGCGTCTCGCGAGCATTCTTACTAGGGCTCCAAGCCCCATGGCGCCAGAGGTTGTTCTTTGATTTCTTTTCTTATCTCTTTCTTTGTTTGTTTTCTAGATTATGCAGCTCTTGTCCATGCTCGAAGAGCTGGATCCAGAGCTCGTGGAAGTGGATCGCCGCTGGCTACGCCTGGTTGCAGACGTGAACCGCCGATATAGCTGCTTTGTCGGTGTGGGTGTCGAGCCCAACGGGCCCATGGGAATCCAGCGCGGACTTTGGGGGCAGCGGATCGTGACCTACTACATGGGTGAGTCAATCTTCCTTCTTTTTGTTTTTTCTCTTTGTCTAATGCTTTGGATCGTCATTTGTTTCACAGATATCCCGGAGCTTGGACTGCTCGACTACAAGGCAACGTACACTTGCGACCAATTCAAGAATCCACTAAGCTACAGTGGCACGCGAGATATCTTCTTGGTCTCCGCTGCTGAGGGACTTGTGAATCGTCCTCCTGCCCTTCTTGGGCCATTTGTGACCCGTGGTGATCGTGCTGCTGCTGATGCCTTTGCTGCCGCTGCCGAGGCCGAGGTCGAGGAACGCCCTGCCGGCGCTGAGGCCGAGGTCGATGTCGAGGAACGCCCTGGCGGCGCTGAGGCCGAGGAAGAACGCGTGGAAATGGAGATGGAACTCTAGAAACTTCTGCTTGAACGATGTTTGTAAAAATTTTGATCGAAATCCCAATGCAGCTCACGCCTCGCGCGAGGCCGATTCCAAATCCTAGGAAGTAGCAGGAAGAAGGTATCTGCATCCTACCTCGCTGGGATCCACCAACGATCTTGGCGTGGCGATCCTTGGCGTCACTCGGCTGGAAGGAAGAACACTGCAATATCCAAAGAGCCCTGATCAACGCATTGGGAGAAAAGGTTGGAAATCTCCGCGAATTCCTCGGCATCCCAGAACCAAGTCCAGGATCACGGTGGAGAGACAATCGATCATACATCTCTGCTTCTAGCTGAGAGTCGTCGTTGCAAGATGCAGTAGCAAGATCTTGCAGCTGATGGATATAAGACAGTGCCTCCCTTCCAAAAACTAGCATGGTGCCCTCCGAGTTTCGAGTGGAAGAACACAGCACCAGGAAACTGAGCTACGTCTTCGTCAAGCTCAAGACGATTGTCCCAGCGTGGAACATCCGAGTCGTGCTTATATCGACAATGAGCACCATAGCGACATCCCTGCCATACAATCGCTTGAGAATAATGCGAGTTAAAAAGCTGACACTTACATCCCCGGACAAGAAAAACTTGCATACTGCTGGCGTGGAAGAGACGGAGTGTGAGAACTCACAGCCGTTTCCTTTAGCGCAAAAGCCTCTACGGAAGTACACGCACTGCACTTTCCCGTCCTCTTCTTTAGGAAAATGGATCGACTCGTAATTACTCTGCGGTTCTAAGTATCTTGCTTGAGTCTGAAACAGTGGATCGTAAGTGTTGGAAAACCGAAGCACGAGTTCAAACAAGTTACCTCCACAATGATCTTCAGCAAATCTGACTGCTTATTCTCGTTGTGGAAGCTCCCGTTTGAAACATACGGAAGTCCCAGGCACGACTCGTCGTCTTGGCTGCGAAAGCAGAGGTGCTGGAAGGAGAAAGCCGTATAATAAGATGGAGGTCCTGTTAAAAGCTTTCTCCACCGATGCATAACTTCTAGCACGCAACTAGCTGCCTCAAAAACAAAGCAAACATCAAGTTTGGTTCTAAAACTTGAAAGACTTACAGAGCTCAGCGACAGCGTTGAGTGAAAACAAAGAAAGGTGATGCTGTTTGCAGAATTCCTTCTCCGACTCCTCTCCATGAATGGTGACGATAGTTGAGGATAAAAATTCGTGGGATAGCTTTTGCCACCGCTGTGTGAGAAAGACAAGGAAAAGAAACAAACGAAGTCGTACCTTCAAGACGCACTGCCAGAATTCAAACGCGCAGAGGTTGCCAAGAAGAGCAGCTTGACGAGATTGCCTTTACACCATTTTGTGATTCCTTGAAGTACTGAAAAGAATAGTGTGCTGTACCGCTAGCTCCGAGAGGCAGGATAATCGGACTCGGCGTAGTGTCTAGAATCGGGTGCCTGACTGTTCTCGTTCGCAGCCCTCCATGACAAGCATAGAAGCCTCCAAAGATAGTGGAAGAGACGCAAGTATTTGTCCGTATGGAGTCGGCAACTTCTTCCCTCTAGCATCGCGCTGTAGAGCGTTCAGTGCTTCAAGTGACTCCAAAGCATCATAAACAGTGTCTGGATGCGGTGGATTCAGGCATTTATCGAAGAATGCTGGAAAAACAAAACACAAAATTTCCGATTAGAAAACGAAGAGACGTACCCAAAGTATCATTCAAAGGTCGTGGTTGAGCGCAAAACAGTGACAGTACTTGCTTTCGTAGAGACTAGAGCTGCATTGCGGGAACCTCAAACTTGTTGAATGTCGTGTACATTGTTCGCGGCACCATGCGAAAGACAGTACCATCGCAGGTACGCCCTGTGCGCCCCTTACGTTGTTCGGCCTACAGTTGAAAGGAGAAAGATACGGTTCTGGCTGGAGGACAAAGACAACTTCTCACCTGTGAGTTCGACTCCCAGACAATCCGGGGAGCGTCTCTCTTCATTTTCGAGTTCCAAAACACTTCTAGGCAGCGGCATGAGTCGATGACGAACGATGCTCCCGGTATTACTCGGCGACATCAGTCGCAAGAACCACCTGAAAGAAAAGAAGGATTCAGAAAAAACAAGACGGAGAATTGAGGAAAGAAAAGACCTTCCTCACTGAATGGTACGCCTCCATTGCTTCCAAAGATTGGTCGATGTCAATGCTACTGTGGAGCACAAATATCTCCACATCCAGTGCCCGTTGCGTGAGGGGAGACCACTGCTCTTCCAAGGCACGATAAGTTGGCAGGAAGACCAGAATTCCCTTCTTGCGATCAGGCTCATCTTTGTGGATGTGAGCGATAAGATCGAAAATCAGGTGCTGTATCTCCATCCCAATATCAGTCCCGTTCTTAAAGGGAGAGGGGTTTTGCTCCAACGAGTTCATTACAGACAAGTGCTCTTCCTTGTTTCCAAGTTGTTGCACGACCTGACAGAGGATGGTTAACAGAAAGATAAAAATAAACGCGAATGAAATAAAATATACAGAACCTGGTCGAGATACTTCACGCTGCACTGGAACAGATGTTGCTGGATCTTCGAGGCCAAGTTCGAGACAGCCACCTTCTCAACTGTTTCGCCAAGCTCGGCAAAATAGTTTTCGTAGCGTTTAAAGTCAGCGGTGGCAGACATGAGTACCAGACTATGGCAGCAGCAATCACATTAGCAAGAGAATCCAGAAAAAAAAAGAGACAAAAAGAAGCCCACCGTGTGTTCTTGTTCCGAAAGAGCAAGATCTTGACGCAACAAAGAACCATATCTGACTCCACAGACCTCTCGTGGATTTCATCCAGTATGACCACCTTGTAGTGAGAAAGAGCAGCCACGCCTTTGGATTTGATCTCCTCTAGAAGAACACCGGAGCTGGAAAAATGCCGTGACTTAGGAATGGAGAAAAGAACATCTAAGATCAAAAGAAAGAACCACAGAACTCCAAGAACTCGAGGAAAAAGTTCCCAAGAACTAAACATCAAGGAAAGACTAGAACTTTCGAAAAGCTCGAGCATTTACCTGGAACTTGTCCGATTCATCTGACCAATGTGAAATCCCACTTCTTGTCCAAGTCTTCGGCCACCATTTTGGACACGGCGACCACGCCAAGCCTTCTCGGCTGCGTGCACAGAATGGGCGAGAACCCTTCCTCGAGCAGCATTTGCGGGACTCGCGAGCTCTTTCCTAGACCCACATTCCCTTGCTAAGCTCCGAAAGAGGGGTAATCCGAGCAAAGAAGAGGCAAACCTGAGCCAGTCTCGGCGAGGATGATCGTGACCCGGTTCATCTCCACCTTCTGGACGATCGTCGCCTTGAAGCGCCGCCTGGATCGGAGTCCGCCAGGGCAGGAAATCTTGCAAACTCCCGTGTTTAGGGTGAAAAAAATGAAAGTGAATATTCCCGGCACCGCTAGTTTTGGTTTTAAAAGGAAACCTAAAGGTGAAATGACGGCACTATAGGAATATTTCGGTGCCGGATAGGTATCTTAGCATCAACTAAAAATGTTTAGTGTATCTCCAATTGCTTGTGGGCAATCTCGCAGTCAGTACATTGGCATGATCATTATCAATTCAGTTCTCACATCCTGTTTTGCTTCGACTTCCACCTTTGTTTCTGGGGCTGGCCTATTGTATTTTTGAGTGATCCACGGATGTTCCAAGATCTGGGCTGCCGTCAATCGTTTTTTCTTGTCCAGATTTAGCATCCCCAGCATCAAATCCTTGGCTAACACCGGAACCCTCGACCAGTCGAAGAGAACAAGGGGCAAATCTTCATAACTCGCTGAGAACCTGAGGTGTTTGAAACTCCTCATATGCAATCTTTCCCCAGAGCCCAAATATCACAAGATTCTTTCAACTTTTCCCCGGGGGGGGACATACTCCATTCCCTCTGGAAACTCAGAAGATGACTTTGCTTGTGGAGGTTGAGAATGAAATGGAAGGACTTCCCAGCGGCTGCTCCAAAATCATGGTGCGGCATGTCCATCGAGCTGGAAAATGGACAAGTTCTTGATTCACTTGTAGCCACTAGCAATTTAATCTTGCGTTTAATAGCACTATATAAATCTTTCCATCTCGAGTTGCAGATAGTGAGCTATCCATCGAGCTGGAAAGTGTGCAAGTTCTTGATTCACTCATAAGTTCTCGCACAGAGGCACACTGGCAATTTGGTACAAATAAAAATCTTTACAAAAGCATAGCTCTTGCCATAGCTATATTGGATTTTGGAACTAATATCCATTGATAAAATAAAAAACAATGTCGATTTCTTAAATCACCCATTGGGCACCCTGTGACTTACTGATTGAAGTCACATAACATGTCCTTTTCTTGTGTTTTATTTTTTTATTCTATTTGTAACTGCCATTTGGTTTGTGTCAATGCTTACGAGCATATGGAGCGGCCAGCTCTGCAGGGTGTGGGCCAATCGGATGGGGAACGTGGGAGCAATGGCGGACCGACACCATGCAGTCATGATGGCTGCGGCGGGGTCAGGGATGAAGTCATACCTCTTCAGTCTATGCGCGTATAAGCTATTAGTTAGATCATTTAGGTGTAGAACTAAAAAATAAAGACAAGATAATTAGAATAATAATTTTTTTAAAAAGCTGGTAGATTAGTTTTTGTATTAACTAGGTAATGATGAATACTTAGTTATGTATGAAGATAACTAAAATAGTATGGGGCTAGTTTTTGCTGATACAAATATATATATTTGTAAAATAGTTTTTTAAATTGATGATATTCATTAATTTATTATAGATATAAATTAAGGATAAAATATTCTACATATAAAAGATAATGAGTATTTAATGTGTGGATTTAATAGTTGAAATTTAATTGGAATAATTAATCACCCAAAACTCTATATAAATATATATAGTGGATAGCTATTTGAATTACAAATACAAAATAATATATCTATGAATTAAAAAAATCATATAATGTATGTTTTAAAAAAAACTATAAAATGGTCATGAAATTATAATGGTGTGTTTTTCAGTATATAATTGTCTGCACACAATTTTGATGTGGCTATCCAAAGTAGTTATAATAGTCATTATTTTTATGTGATATTAATATTAAACTTTTAAAATAACTTTAAAAATTAATTATTATTTTAAACTAATGTACTGGAGAACACTAAAAAGCTCAGAAAAAGATTTTTATGTTTTATTTTGTCATTTAAAAAATTAATTTATTAATCTTACATATCACATAAAAAATACTTACAAAAATTCTTAGACATATATTTTGATAAGCACTCCAAGAGAAAAAATAAATAATTATCATTAAATTTTAGAACAAATAATAATTAAAATAAATTAATTATAAAGAATTTGTATCCTTCTTTTTACCATTATTTTTGCTCTTCACTACTTTCTATCTGATTTACTATATTACACATGCAAACATCTTGACGAAGCCCTTGCTTCCTAGCAGTTTTCTCCCTCATCTAAGATGCAGCCACGTGGTATGCCACGTGGCAAAAGCGGACATACACAGGTGAGAGTTGCGACTCTCCAGATCCACCACGTGTCACCATGTGTCTTAGCCATACAGTGATCTCAGATGTACTACATCCTCACAACTGTCCGTTGACGACGAACATCATGCACACCGCCTTAACCCCCTCCCATAATCCCAGAGTTTTGGATTAAAGGAGTTAATTTGCTGAGTGAGCAAGCCATCTCACTGGAGCTGATGCAGGCTTACTACAACTTTGTTGAGGACGACCATCCGGGTAATGAAGATGAAGAAGTTTAGAGTTTGTTCAGACTGTCACATGGCTTCCAACATTTCCAGGATCTCAAAGAGGATTGCATGATTTGATGAGGTTTCATCACTTCGAGAATGGTGCTTGCTACTGGTGTCCGTGTTGAGAAACCCGTGTGGTGCCCATGTCGTCGGGCCAAGCCTGAGAGCAGTGCTTGTGTAGAAGCTTTGCGAGAGACAGGTGACCTCTACGCAGCATGGAGAAGCTGCTCAAAGTTTGTATAGAGAAGGGCATTCTTTCAAGAACATCACATGGTTTCGCAGGCAAGTTCTTTCAGAGATTTCTTTTCTTGAAATATAGATTGGCTCGGCCAGCACTGCATCTTACAGCTTTAGATTCTCAGCTTGTTTTGTGTTTTCGCTACTTTTTTTTCTGTAGCACCAAGGATTGCAGAGCATGAACTCCATCAGAGTTGAGGTGGTACAAACGTTTCTACTAGATGCCATATGTAACAACATTGCTGGATGCGACGAGTTATGGCTGCTCGTAGTCAAAACTGCTGTTCAGCCCGCTCTTAATTTGGTCAACAAATAATTTATTCGAAGCTCGTGGCCTTGGAAACTTGATGCAATCCCCTCTAGAAACAAAGGATGCAAAAATGTACTATACCATTACTCACCTTTGATTTTCTCTCCTTCACAGGCTTAGTATATCGTGATCTACTCTTCCATTCCTTCCACATTCCTTCAGTGCTGTTAATTTGAATAGTGTTTTATACTGTTCAATTGAAAACTTATTGATCATAAATGGGTGTGCAAGAGAACTTATGAACACTTGGATGCCTAGAAGAAAATTCTAATAACATAAAATATTAACTTTCATGGAGGCACCAAAGATGGTGCAAACAGAAAAGCAGACATCACAACTGAAGGGTTCTGAGTTGGAATGTTAGTCCAGGTCTTACTCTCATAATCCAAAAAAAACACCTTACTCTTATCCGGAATCATGAAGGTGCCTTCGTAGAAACAGGCCGGAGGGATAAGATGGCATTCCTCGTTGTAAGGAAAGCTTGCCTCCTTAACAAATCTCTTGGATGCACAGTCCAACCTTATTAGCATCATCTTCACAACCCCACAAACTGCTCCTATAACCACAATGAAGAACTGGGGTGCTGTTGTTACCACCCAATTGGCCCAACCAGCTCCCATAGGTCGATTGGATGATGACCACTCGATGGACCATCTCATTTCTTCCATGTTGAAGCTCAATATCCCCTGATTCGAATTAAAATAAGCTTTGCTGTTGGCCATCCCCACTCCATATATGAGATGAGACCAGCCAGGAAGGTAATCCACTTGGTCCCACACCCCTGATCTTGAGTCATATACATGCAATCGCTCTTCTGCTATACAGATCCAGTACCGCTGCATGGACGGTTCCAATACCAGGGCAGAATGAAGACGCAGGAGTATATATACGACTGCCCTTGAAACCTCTTTCAGAGGCGGTGGGGGAAGCACCTTGAGAGCTCTAGTAAGCGGATTGAGAACAACATAATCATCACCCATCGTTCCAAGCAGCAATCCACCACAAGTTCTGAAAACCCTGATGTGACTGTAGACATCTTGATGGACCCAATCTTTTGGTGCTTCAGATCTAGCAACAAACGGGTTGCAGCTGTAGATATCCTCACCATTTCTAGTTATACCCAAGACACGAGGAGGAGGTAGATGCTTACTTTTAGAGTAGTATGCTGAATAAAACTTTGCAAATCCTGGTGAATCTACAAGATCCCTCCATTGTCTGCACACAGCTCTAATGCGGCAGTGCAAAGCAACTGGAGGCAAGCGCTTCAACACCTCCTGCTCAATTATGTGCACCAAAATGTCCATACCCTAGTACAAAAGGGGCTTCTTTTATGAAGGCCACAAAAAGGGTTTTCCATTCAAGTTCCTCAACAATCTCCCATAGGCATCGAGATTTATGGTGTACTCCTTCACTGGATTGGAAGATTCATGCCTTCGACGTGCTTCGATGGTGCGAATCCGGATCTGGACTCATGCTTGTAAGTCCCTGTATTTTTCGCTGTTGTCATTTTGGTGCGTGTGAGCAGCAATATGAATGGTTAGTGGGGAGCCAGTACAAGTCTTTAGAATTTGTTAATTCGCAAATCTCCTCGATATGAACTGGATGCGTGGGGTCTAGGTGAGTGTTTCGATTACAATTGCTTTCTAGAATGGTCGCTGTAGGATGCTTGACGTACGAGCTATTCTCGATGTCAAAAACAGGGGAGTCACGAAACACAGCACCAATTCCCAAGGTTTGTGTGCCGGAGTGATAGTGGTATTAACATAAATTTGCAGAACTTGTTGCCCGATTATCAAAGGTTGCTTTCAGCCCTCACGATGCTTCAAAGTTGATAGAAAACAGCGGTAATATTATCGAGCACTATTTTCTATTTACTCGGTTTGATGCGCAGATTTCTTTCAAAATAAACTTCTGGAAACAGTCCAGTTTATGGCCTCAAGGATACAGCTTCCTTGAAAAAGGTACAGCATTTCCCTGATAGTACCGGACTCAGTTTTTCGCGCAGATTCTTCCAATGGTGGCTTCAGTTCTGGAGTTTGGGTCCGCAGCAGCCGTTACCTCCATTTTTTAAATGGGGGCTTGGCTGTCACAATAGCCTACTGCATTTTTCTTTTATTAAGTTTTTGATTGGCAACGCTGCACCGTTGTTCTGCATTTTATCCTTATTTGTAAGGTGACTGACCTTTTTTTCACAATTTATTGTTCTTTGCGTCGACTGACCGTACTATTCGAGCAAGTTTATTTGAGCAAGTGATCAGTATGGAAATACTTTTCCATGAGCAAGTTGAGTTGTGCATTCACTCGAATTTAGAAACTAAAAATGCCTGCACGGGTTTTTTTCGCAGCCACTGGTTTTTCGAACACACGTTGAAGTCAATGCTCATTTTTGCACCAAAGGTATTTCCATTGCCTGAAAGCAGTTAACCATTATGGGATCTCTGTTGAAACACTTATCGAAATTGCAAGTTCCTTTTTCTCTTTTATTTTTCTTAGTCTCTATCATGTTGACGAAGAACCTGAACACTGCCGGCCTTCTTAACGTACATTCTCCTCTTGTTCTTCGAATCAAGTTACATTTTTCATGCAAGAGTCTGATCAACGCATCACGGCAAAGGCTCTAAGGGATGGATTTGCTCCTGCAAGGGGTGCTGGTATGCGTTTGAGCTCTTCCCTGACAAGGTATAATGGGCCACAAGCCAGTAACTACAGGTTGCTCCATCTTTTATTCTAGTTGCTTAACTGATGTGAGGACTAAAGCCTTTGAAGCTACTTGTCCGGAAGCATCACAACAAGGTCAGCATTGTCCACATCGAAGTAACTTTATCAAAAATCTACTCTGAGCTCGAGGATGGAGTGAGCCCCAGTATTCTGCCTGTTGCAACGTCGGGTCTTCTCGGGTTTGTAAATGCTTATAACTTTGGATAGCTGACTATCTCTTATCGTCTAAAGCTGCACTGTGAGCTCTCTCATAGCACCCCAGCCCAGCACTTCCTTGAGCGAAGATTTCTTCGACAGCGTAGCCGATGACCAAAGACGAGCGATGGATGGGACGACATGGAAGACGCGGCAGCAGCCACAGCAACGCCATGAAACAAGCTGCATAACAGCGTCCCATTGCATTGCGTCCCAGACGAACGCCAACGGCCCCAAGCAAACAACCACTGGTGAGAGTCTCCAACCTTTCCTCTGCTGCGGTTTTCATTTCTTCGCAAGAGTAGCGGTTTAGACAATGCATCCATCGAGATCACCTCATTGACGAAACCTCGCTCGTTTCAACTCAGTCGAGAGTAAGGGAGGGATGGTTATGATCTCCAATGTGAGATTGTATACGAGATCATCCGAAAAGTGTCGAGTGTCCGCTTTATGTGCCACGTGGCATACCACGTGGCTGCATCTTAGATGAGGGAGAAAGCTTGCTAGGAAGCAGGGGCTTTGTCAAGATGTTTGCAGTCATTTCTTGTGTAAGATAGTAAATCAGCTGGATAATGTTGTCTTCAATCCCGCATGAAATGGTGAGGTGTTTGGTGTGAGAATTAATCTTGCGATGCACCCAGGAGGCACTGGAGCCATATGGCCTCGCAGCACAAGAGTGAGTGCAAAGAGGTAATTTTTGGTTGGGCCAGAGCAACATCCCTCTAGTGATATGTGCGAGAAGCTCTTGATTGAATTGCTAAGCTTTGCTTGGATTTGGATAGACAACCTATATTAGCTAATTGATTAAATTATGGTCCATTTTTTGTCGAAGGGGCCTCAGCAATAGAGTGGGCAATGTCATATGTTCAGCCACTGAATGCTTTTCAAGAGGTTCTTATTAAATATAAAGCTACCACAAAACAAAACCAAATGTTGTCTTTTCAGTTTTCAGCTAAAAAGAGCTATCCCACATCATTTTTTTCCTTGTGGCAAATGGCATTCAAGATTGAATGAGGGACTGAGCTGATAAATGAGGATTCAAACCAAAATGGTCTTATGAATTAGTGATCAAAGGGCCTGGTGGATATTTTGAGGCAACTGCATGACAATATATTGCTAGTCTAGGTAGTGGGAGTGGAGTTCCTAAGGAGGCAAAGGCTTAGCTATTTAGCTGCTCCAGGTGAAGAGGTCAAAATCTCAAAAGGGTAAAAGTCTAAATGCAATATTTATAGCCAAGTGAAAGGTAGAAAAGCTACTTTGTTATAAATATATTTAAATCTTATTTTTTATTATTTAAAATATTAATAAGTTATATTTTTAAACAATTATCAAGTATGTTCAAGTATATTCTATTTTTAAGAATATAGAAGGACTTAGCATCAGCTTTCAAAAAAGAAACAGAACAATATTAGGAGATTCCCTTTTAAGTTTTTGACTTTAAGGATTGCATAGTCCATTGCTTGTCTTTATAATGAATAAATGCTACTTGCAAACTGATATCGGAATTCAAGGACACACACCTAGAAATTTCACATCAACTAAAAATGCTCTACAGTATATAAAGTGATTACTAATATGATAAAAAACTATGTCCAATTAAAGATTAGAGTATCAATTTTCTGAGAATAGATTTACTCTCAGGTCATGTCTATACTTTTGCCTTTGCAATTGTTTTGAAGTTCCAACAATTACCTTTGACAGATTGCCTTGGATCAATCCACTTGTGTTTCCTTCAGGTTGTCTTGTTATCCTTGGACAAGTTAGTGGCATCCCAATGGAATGTGTGATGTGGATATCAGCACATTCCTTTGATCCAAGGATATATAGAGGAAGTACTTAGGGTTTGATGCGTGTAGGATCTGGTGTGTGTTCTCAACGCCTAGCTGATCAATGCATGAGATGCACCTCTGTGATGATATCCCGGATCCAAACTTGTGTCCTGGACAATTGTACTCGTCCATGATGTACCACTGAGCAACTTGGTTGCTGGCTTCCACCACAGTATCACTCTCCTTGGCCTAAGAGCAATCGAAAACACAAGAAGAAAATGATTGGAGAAGATGTTGTTTGCGTTTGGATCTCTGCGATCTCAGGCCCTGGGACCAGTAAAAATCTCGGGCTCTCGATCTCAGGCTCTTGATCTCGGGCCCTTGAATCTTAGGACCAGTAAAAAAGCTGAACTTTGTGCGTACCTTGTGAAACTCCTCCTGTTTTCTGGCTTTGTTCAGCTGATGCCATGAAGTCTTCCTCTCAGCAGACAAGGATCCAGCCTGTCTTGCAAGTGCTCTCGACAACTAGTCCACAACACAACTCGTCAACTTGCTCCACCACTTCAAGGACATCTTTGCATGGGAGTCCCAGACAACATGATCACGAGATCACACTCAAAGAGGGCGTTCGTGACAAGATCCAAATGCAAATCTAAGGCCGAATTGAAACACCTCCTTTCTGTGGACTTCATCTATCTAGTGGACTACACAGAGTGGCTCTCCTCCAGTCATCAAATCCAATGGTAAGCTTCGTGCCCTCCATCATCGACAACTTGGTTGTTTTACTCTGGCTATGTGGGCTACATTAGCTACTCATTGCTCCAGAGCACAAAGATAAAACCACTTTCCAGACTCCATGTGGAAACTTTTCTTACAATGTTCTCTCTTTTAGACTTTGCAACACCTATGCAACTTTCTGGATTATGAGAGTCACAACCCTTTAATTATCTTTGGTGCCCCTATGAAAGTTAATATTCTATGTTATTAGAATTTTCTTCTAGGGTTTTGGGTTGTTCTAGGTATGGAAGGAATGTGGAAGGAATGGAAGCAAAGATTTTCTTGTGAAAAAAAGCTAGCATTAAAAGAATTAAAGCACAAAACTAAGAGGTATGGGTAGATTACGATATACTGAAGGAATGTGGAAGGAATGGAAAAGGATATACTGAGTCTGTGATGAAGAGAAAACCAAAGGTGAGTTATGGTATCCCCTTAGTACATTTTTTGCATTCTGTTTTTCTAAAGAGCTTTTACATGTTTGCAAGGTCAAGTTTCCAAGTTCGAATGCAAACTAGAAGTTTATTTTATTTTTAATATTATCTATTAATAAAAGTAGGTAGATTTCTGCCCAGTGCTCTGAATGTCAAAGTGAAGAAATTCAACCAAGCGCGGGTAAACGGCGGGAGTAACTATGACTCGTTGGAGTTCAATCCTCGGCACTACAGGAAAGCAAAAACTCAAAACAAGTTACGTATCTTGATTGAAGCACACGGCCAATCTACACCTCAAGAAAATAAATCTCCGAGTTAGAGCTAGCTGGAGAACAAGGACTTGCCTGCGAAAGTATCCAAGTGATTTGATGCGCCAAAACGATGTCATTAGAAGCGCCTTGAGAAGAATGTCTGGTCTGGCTGTGCACATTGGATTCCCTTCATACAAACAGCTTTGAGCAGCTTCTCTTGTTCCATGCCTCAAACTCGCGTGGATCTCCAGCAAAAGTTCTCGCAAAACCAGCTGCTCCGTAGACGAGCCGAGACAATCGATCGCACTGACTGCGATCTCCCTGAGCTCGTCCGTCGTCCACTCCACTTCGCCACAAGCGAAAGTAGCGACCGTAGAGATCACCTCTCTCTCGCGAGGCTTCTCCCATTTCCCAGACACAAGCGCTGTTCTCAGGGCGACCAGCGCCTCGCGCGACGACGCCAGGAACTCGGCCCTGGCATCGTCTCGCTCCTGGCTGCGATCTCCCTGAGTTCGTCTGTTCTCCACTCCATTTCACGATAAGCAGAAGTAGCGAGTGTAGAGATCACCTGTCCCTCGCGAGGCTTCTCAGACACAAGCGCTGCTCTCAGGGCGTGGCGCGATATTAATAATGGACTTTCATTCCATTCCATTGACCAGAGAAACAATTACTTGAACAATCATCTCTGAAGAATCTGCCACGAAAACTTCACATTATACTTTTTTACATAGGAGACCTTGAACCATCTCGTACACAGACTCTACTCTGCTCCTCAACAACCCACCTCACAGTAAATTATGGAACTGCTTGCTAGCAGCAGTGAGCGGTGCGTAATATCGTCTTCTGGAACGAGGCCTACGCGCAGCACGGCCGACGCGTCGACGTGATCGCGGTATTTCGGCTCTTGGAGCTACAAGGCGGACAAGATGACATTATGGAGGCTTGTTCTTGCTCCTGGTAGGGAAATCTCAATGCCGGGAGGCTCTTTCACCGTCACCTCCTCGCTGCACTCCGGGAAGTGATGGCACATCCGCGAAGCTTCTCCCAGGAAACTCTTCCCAGGATGTGGGAGACCTTCCCTTGTGTCGTCCAAGCTAGCAGATCAGGTCGCTGCCGAGCTCAAGGCCGTGAGTTTGGCGCTAGCTTCCAGCTAAGGAACGACATATTGTCCTCCTTGCATCTCCCAGAGAACTCTAGCGGCTTCTTGATCAATACGGAAACCACTGGCGATGGTGCGACGAGGTTAGTTGAGAGCATGGAAAGCTAGAATGTGGCGGCCTGGACGTCGATCACCGCTGCTTACTCTCGCGAAGAATGGAACGCCCGTTGACGTTGAACATCATGCGCACCGCCCACTTTACCCCCTCCCATAATCCCAGAGTTTTGGATTAAAGGAGTTAATTTGCTGAATCTCACTGGAGCTGACGCAGGCTTACTACAACTTTGTTGAGGGCGACCATCCGGGTAATGAAGATGAAGAAGTTCAGAGTGGCTTCCAACATTTCCAGGATCTCAAAGGGGATTGCATGATTTGATGAGGTTTCATCACTTCGAAGAATGGTGCTTGCTACTGGTGTCCGTGTCGAGAAACCCGTGTGGTGCCCGTGTCGTCGGGCCAAGCCTGAGAGCAGCGCTTGTGTAGAAGCTTTGCGAGAGACAGGTGACCTCTACGCGGCATGGAGAAGCTGCTCAAGGTTTGTATAGAGAAGGGCATTCTCTCAGCATTCAAGAACGTAGAGGCCTTGATACCGTGTAGCTCGAGGAGCTCTATTGGTAGCCCCACTCGCTATTGGCATATGCCCAAAATGGGCATCTAATATGCAAAATGCATATTCAAGGAGATGCCCGCGAGGCCCAGGGAAGGTTTAAATGCGTGTAACGAATATGTGATACAATGCTCCAGACAAACGTGGCTATTTGGACCTTGCTCCTTTCTGCATATCCCAGTATGGGCATATGCAAACAAAAACTCCATGTTGGAGAAGAATGTCGTCTCTTGAACGTCGATGCTAGCTGAATTCTCTCAATCCGGCCACACACAAGAAGCCAAGAAGATATTACACGAGATGCCTGTACGGCATACTGACCAGCATTGTTGTCCATGACACTTGTAGGGGTTAGCAAGGTTTTTTGGCATTGTAGATACATCTTCCAATAGCAAATGCTACGGCCGTGGTGACGATGACACCGAGATCCATTCCAGCGGCAGTGATCCTGTCAACGATCGATTGGGCCTCGAGGAGCTCCGATAGAGGAACATCACATGACTTGGGTACTTTCGCAGGCAAGTCCTTTCAGAGATTTCTTTCTTGAGGTGTAGATTGGCTTGGCCAGCACTGCCAAATTGTCATCTTACAGCTTTAGATTCTCACCTTGTTTTGTGTTTTTGCTACTTTTGTTTTCTGTTGCAGAGCATGAACTCCATCAGAGTTGAGGTGGTGTTTCTACTCGATGCCATATGTCACAACATCGCTGGATGCGACGAGTTATGGCTGCTCGTAGTCAAAACTGCTGTTCAGCCCGCTCTTAATTTCGTCACAAATAATTTATTCGAAGCTCGCGGCCTTGGAAACTTGATGCGATCCCCTCTAGAAACAAAGGATGCAAAAATGTACTAAAGGCATACCATTACTCACCTTTGATTTTCTCTCCTCATCACAGGCTTAGTATATCGTGATCTACGCTTCCATTCCTTCCACATTCCTTCAGTGCTGTTAAAACATTTGGATGCCTAGAAGAAAATTCTAATAACATAAAATATTAACTTTCATGGAGGCACCAAAGATGGTGCAAACAGAAAAGCAGACATCACAACTGAAGGGTTCTGAGTTGGAATGTTAGTCCAGGTCTTACTCTCATAATCCAAAAAAAACACCTTACTCTTATCCGGAATCATGAAGGTGAAACAGGCCGGAGGGATAAGATGGTATTCCTCGTTGTAAGGAAAGCTTGCCTCCTTAACAAATCTCTTGGATGCACAGTCCAACCTTATTAGCATCATCTTCACAACCCCACGAACTGCTCCTATAGCCACAATGAAGAACTGGGGTGCTGTTGTTACCACCCAATTGGCCCAACCAGCTCCCATAGGTCGATTGGATGATGACCACTCGATGGACCATCTCATTTCTTCCATGTTGAAGCTCAATATCCCCTGAGTCGAATTAAAATGAGCTTTGCTGTTGGCCATTCCCACTCCATATGTGAGATGAGACCAGCCAGGAAGGTAATCCACTTGGTCCCACACTCCTGATCTTGAGTCATATACATGCAATCGCTCTTCTGCTATACAGATCCAGTACCGCTGCATGGACGGTTCCAATACCAGCGCAGAACAAAGACGCAGGAGTATATATACGACTGCCCTTGAAACCTCTTTCAGAGGCGGTGGGGGAAGCACCTTGAGAGCTCTAGTAAGCGGATTGAGAACAACATAATCATCCAAGCAGCAATCCACCACAAGTTTTGAAAACCCTGATGTGACTGTAGACATCCTGATGGACCCAATCCTTTGGTGCTTCAGATCCAGCAACAAACGGGTTGCAGCTGTAGATATCCTCACCATTTCTAGTTATACCCAAGACACAAGGAGGAAGTAGGTGTTTACTTTTAGAGTGGTATGCTGAATAAAACTTTGCAAATCCTAGTGAATCTACAAGATCCCTCCATTGTCTGCACACAGCTCTAATGCGGCAGTGCAAAGCAACTGGAGGCAAGCGCTTCAATACCTCCTGCTCAATTATGTGCACCAAGATGCCTAGTACAAAAGGGGCTTCTTTTATGAAAGCCACAAAAAGTTTTTTCCATTCAAGTTCCTCAAGTTCCCATAGGCATCAGATTTATGGTGTACTCCTTCACTGGATTGGAAGCTTCATGCCTTCGACGTGCTTCGATGGTGCGAATCCGGATCTGGACTCATGCTTGTAAGTCCCTGTATTTTTCGCTGTTGTCATTTTGGTGCGTGTGAGCAGCAATATGAATGGTTAGTGGGGAGCCAGTACAAGTCTTTAGAATTTGTTAATTCGCAAATCTCCTCGATATGAACTGGATGCGTGGGGTCTAGGTGAGTGTTTCGATTACAATTGTTTTCTAGAATGGTCGCTGTAGGATGCTTGACGTACGAGCTATTCTCGATGTCAAAAACAGGGGAGTCACGAAACACAGCACCAATTCCCAAGGTTTGTGTGCCGGAGTGATAGTGGTATTAACATAAATTTGCAGAACTTGTTGCCCGATTATCAAAGGTTGCTTTCAGCCCTCACGATGCTTCAAAGTTGATAGAAAACAGCGGTAATATTATCGAGCACTATTTTCTATTTACTCGGTTTGATGCGCAGATTTCTTTCAAAATAAACTTCTGGAAACAGTCCAGTTTATGGCCTCAAGGATACAGCTTCCTTGAAAAAGGTACAGCATTTCCCTGATAGTACCGGACTCAGTTTTTCGCGCAGATTCTTCCAATGGTGGCTTCAGTTCTGGAGTTTGGGTCCGCAGCAGCCGTTACCTCCATTTTTTAAATGGGGGCTTGGCTGTCACAATAGCCTACTGCATTTTTCTTTTATTAAGTTTTTGATTGGCAACGCTGCACCGTTGTTCTGCATTTTATCCTTATTTGTAAGGTGACTGACCTTTTTTTCACAATTTATTGTTCTTTGCGTCGACTGACCGTACTATTCGAGCAAGTTTATTTGAGCAAGTGATCAGTATGGAAATACTTTTCCATGAGCAAGTTGAGTTGTGCATTCACTCGAATTTAGAAACTAAAAATGCCTGCACGGGTTTTTTTCGCAGCCACTGGTTTTTCGGACACTTGTGCGTTGCTACGGGAACTAACGTTGAAGTCCTCATTCTTGCAACAAAGGTATTTCCATTGCCTGAAAGCAGTTAACCATTATGGGATCTCTGTTGAAACACTTATCGAGAGAGAGATCGGACTTGAGCGCCAGGCGAATTTCACGACCCTCTCGTTGAGAACCGGGAGAGCTCCTGGCAGTCCCACCGGGCATACATTGGAATTGGGCTGCGCGCCATACTGCGAGAAGCATCCACCGAAGGCCTGGTGGCCGTGGCGAGATCACAGCCTTGAAATCTTGCAATGCCGAGGGGATTTTGCCACTGCTGCTTGCCTGTTTGGTCGCCACGGACGATGAGTATCGGATTTGGAGAGTAGACCTCGGCATTCTTGATGGATTCCCAGGTCGCTCCTGTTCTAGGACAGGCAAAAATTTGAAATAGATCCGACGGTGCAGATAAAATTCCGGGCGGGAACAAAACGAAGATAACCTCATCAAAGAAACCTCCGGGGAAACACGAGCTTGAAGATGTAAGTGACGAGCTTTACTGGCGGTCGGATAGAGCTCCCCTTGAAAAACGCTGGATCCACTGCCGTGGAGGACTGGAGGAAGAGGAAATTCTCTCGACCAGCTCGTTCTACCTGTGAGAGCCAAAGAACAAACTTAAGATCACTCGAAAATCGTGAACAATCAATACCTGGCACTGGCAAAATTCGATGTTGGTCATAGTGAGAAGCAGCACAAGTCCACTGTGGAGTAAGTTGAGCTTGCGGTGCGTCACTGCCAAGAAGTGGAAAATCTCCTGGAAGAACGCCTTGTGTTGATCTGGATCGCTGATGCTCCTGAGTGGAAAGTTCAAGACGATGCACTTGACTTTCGTCCAGTCTGGGAGCTCTCTCGCTTCTTCCGCGGAGGAAGTAACCAAAGACGATGCGTTGAGCCCCCAAAGGATCTGGATTCTCGAAGGCAAGTCCAGGATCACGGTAGAGAGAGATGAATCATACTTCTCTGCTACTAGCTGAGAACCTTCGTTGCAAGCTACCGCGATGGATGCAGTAGCAAGATCTTGCAGCTGATGGATATAAGACAGTGCCTGCCTTCCAAAAACTAGCATGGTGCCCTCCAAGTTTCGAGTGGAAGAACACAGCACCGTAGGAAACTGAGCTACGTCTTCGTCAAGCTCAAGACGATTGTCCCAGCGTGGAACATCCGAGTCGTGCTTATATCGACAATGAGCACCATAGCGACATCCCTGCCATACAATCGCTTGAGAATAATGCGAGTTAAAAAGCTGACACTTACATCCCCGGACAAGAAAAACTTGCATACTGGCGTGGAAGAGACGGAGTGTGAGAACTCACAGCCGTTTCCTTTAGCGCAAGAGCCTCTACGGAAGTACACGCACTGCACTTTCCCGTCCTCTTCTTTAGGAAAATGGATTGACTCGTAATTACTCTGCGGTTCTAAGTATCTTGCTTGAGTCTGAAACAGTGGATCGTAAGTGTTGGAAAACCAAAGCACGGGTTCAAACAAGTTACCTCCACAATGATCTTCAGCAAATCTGACTGGTTATTCTCGTTGTGGAAGCTCCCATTTGAAACATACGGAAGTCCCAGGCACGACTCGTCGTCTTGGCTATGAAAGCAGAGGTGCTGGAAGGAGAAAGCCGTATAATAAGATGGAGGTCCTGTTAGAAGCTTTATTGACTGTGGTCTCCACCGATGCATAACTTCTAGCACGCAACTAGCTGCCTCAAAAACAAAGCAAACATCAAGTTTGGTTCTAAAACTTGAAAGACTTACAGAGCTCAGCGACAGCGTTGAGTGAAAACAAAGAAAGGTGATGCTGTTTGCAGAATTCCTTCTCCGACTCCTCTCCATGAACGGTGACGATCGTTGAGGATAAAAATTCGTGCGATAGCTTTTGCCATCGATAGTTGTCCTGTGTGAAAAACATCAAGGAGAGGCAAGGAAAAGAAACAAACGAAGTCGTACCTTCAAGACGCACTGCCAGAATTCAAACGCGCAGAGGTTGCCAAGAAGAGCAGCTTGACGAGATTGCCTGACACCATTTTGTGATTCCTGGAAGTACTGAAAAGAATAGTGTGCTCCGAAAGGTAGGATAATCGGACTCGGCGTAGTGTCTAGCACAGAAGCTATGACAGCACACTCATTCAGGTACCCGCGTTCGCAGCCCTCCATGACAAGCATAGAAGCCTCCAAAGATAGTGGAAGAGACGCAAGTATTCGTCCGTATGGAGTCGGCAACTTCTTCCCTCTAGCATCGGGCTGTAGAGCGTTCAGTGCTTCAAGTGACTCCAAAGCATCATAAACAGTGTCTGGATGTGGTGGATTCAGGCATTTATCGAAGAATGCTGGAAAAACAAAACATAAAATTTCCGATTCAGAAAACGACGAGCAAACTTGAGACGTACCCAACGCATCATTCAAAGCTCGTGCTTCAGCACAAAACAGTGACAGTACTTGCTTTCGTAAAGACAAGAGCTGCATTGCGGGAACCTCAAACTTGTTGAATGTCGCGTACATTGTTCGCGGCACCATGCGAAAGACAGTCCCATCGCAGGTACGCCCTGTGCGTCCCTTACGTTGTTCAGCCTACAGTTGAAAGGAGAAAGATACGGTGTCTGGCTGGAGGACAAAGACAACTTCTCACCTGTGAGTTCGACTCCCAGACAATCCGGGGAGCGTCTCTCTTCATTTTCGAGTTCCAAAACACTTCTAGGCAGCGGCATGAGTCGATGACGAACGATGCTCCCGGGATTGTAATTGAAGACTCGGCGACATCAGTCGCAAGAATCACCTGAAAGAAAAGAAGGATTCAGAAGAAACAAGACGGAGAATTGAGGAAAGAAAAGACCTTCCTCACTGAATGGTACGCCTCCATTGCTTCCAAAGATTGGTCGATGTCAATGCTACTGTGGAGCACAAATATCTCCACATCCAGTGCCCGTTGCGTGAGGGGAGACCACTGCTCTTCCAAGGCACGATAAGTTGGCAGGAAGACCAGAATTCCCTTCTTGCGATCAGGCTCATCTTTGTGGATGTGAGCGATAAGATCGAAAATCAGGTGCTGTATCTCCATCCCAATATCAGTCCCGGTCTTACAGGGAGAGGGGTTTTGCTCCAACGAGTTCATTACAGACAAGTGCTCTTCCTTGTTTCCAAGTTGTTGTACGACCTGACAGAGGATTGTTAACAGAAAGATAAAAATAAACGCGAATGAAATAAAATATACAGAACCTGGTCGAGATACTTCACGCTGCACTGGAACAGATGTTGCTGGATCTTCGAGGCCAAGTTCGAGACAGCCAGCTTCTCAACTGTTTCGCCAAGCTCGGCAAAATAGTTTTCATAGCGTTTAAAGTCAGCGGTGGCAGACATGAGCACCAGACTATGGCAGCAGCAATCACATTAGCAAGAGAAATCCAGAAACAATAGAGACGAAAAGAAGCCCACCGTGTGTTCTTGTTCCGAAAGAGCAAGATCTTGACGCAACAAAGAACCATATCTGACTCCACAGACCTCTCGTGGATTTCATCCAGTATGACCACCTTGTAGTGAGAAAGAGCAGCCACGCATTTCGATTTGATCTCCTCTAGAAGAACACCGGCAGTCTGGAAGACGATTTTGGAGCTGGAAAAATGCCGTGACATCTATGATCAAAAGAAAGAACCACAGAACTCCAAGAACTCGGGGAGCTAAAAGGAAAAAGCTCCCAAGAACTAAACATCAAGGAAAGACTAGAACTTTCAGAACGATCGAGCATTTACCTGGAACTTGTCCTATTCATCTGACCAATGTGAAATCCAACTTCTTGTCCAAGCTCGCAGCCTCGCTCCTCGGCCACCATTTTGGACACGGCGACCACGGCAAGCCTTCTCGGCTGCGTGCACAGAATGGGGGCGAACCCTTCCTCGAGCAGCATTTGCGGGACTTGCGAGCTCTTTCCTAGACCCACATTCCCTTGCTAAGCTCCGAAAGAGGGGTAATCCGAGCAAAGGAGAGGCAAACCTGAGCCAGTCTCGGCGAGGATGATCGTGACCCGGTTCATCTCCACCTTCTGGACGATCGTCGCCTTGAGGCGCCGCACGGGCAGCCGCCTGGATCGCAACCCCTCCCCATCGTCCGCCATGCAGCGGGCGCGCAAGAAATCTTGCTCCACAATCAAATTCCTCGTGTTTAGGGTGAAAAAAATGAAAGTGGATATTCCCGACACTAACTTAGGGCTTCGGTCATTTTCCAGGTTAATTGGTTTAAAAGCCAACCTAAAGGTGAAATGACGGCACCAGGAATATTGTGGTGCTGCTAATATTCGATTTATCTTAACACCGACTAAAATTTTTTCATGAAAGTGAATATTCCCAGTCAGGGCTAATTGGTTTAAAAGGAAACCTAAAGGTGAAATGACATAGCTAATAGTCTGTCTTAACATCGACTAAAACTTTTTCGTGTATCTCCAATTGCTTGTGGGCAATTTCGCAGTCAGTACATTGGCACGGAAGCTTGTCCTCCCACTATCAATTCAGTTCTCACATCCTGTTTTGCTTCGACCTCCACCTTTGTTTCTGGGGCTGGCCTATTGTAATTTTGAGTGATCCGCTTGATCCACGGATGTTCCAAGATCTGGGCTGCCGTCAATCGCTTTTTCTTGTCCAGATTTAGCATCCCCAGCATCAAATCCTTGGCTAACACCGGAACCCTTGACCAGTCGAAGAGAATAAGGGGCAAATCTTCATACCGCTCCAACTCGCTGAGAACCTGAGGTGTTTGAAGCTCCTCATATGCAATCTTTCCTGTGAGCATCTCGTACAAAGTCACGCCCAGCGCCCAAATATCACAAGATTCTTTGAACCTTTCCCCAGGGGGCATGTACCGCGCAGTTCCACCGCGCATCAACGCCCCCTTTTCCTGCCCCTTCTGCCAAGAGAGGCCAAAATCCGCCACTTTTACCTCGCTGTCATAGCTTATTAGAACGTTTCCCGGTTTTATATCATTGTGAGCCATCCCTAGGGCATGCATCCGCTGCAACGTCCCCGCCACCTTCGCCACCACAAGTGCCGCCTCGTCCTCTCCCAAGGGAAGCCTTGAGAGGAGTGTTCCTTCGCACAGCTCCATTATGATGTGGCAGAAACCCAAGTCACGCACAATGCCGACAAGACGAACCACGCCTGGGTCGTGCCTCAGTTGGGCCATGATCTTGAGCTCTTGCAGTATGAGTTTATCGTCGCCCATCATGCTGTTCGTTTTGCACGCAAAGTGTTTCCCATCTCTCAAACGGATCACCTCAAACACCCTCGAGAATCCACCCATTCCTATAGTCTTTGTTACCTGGTACTTGTCTAGCAGATTGGGGAACAATATCTCCATCGTCTTTGCGTTCATCTCCATCTCCCTTTTCTCTGTTGCAAGAAAATGCCAAACCCTAGAGGATACCCTTCCGCTTTTAACTTTAAAGGCCACATAAGTCACCTTTTTTTCCGAGCTTGTTCATTGCGAAAACTGGTTTAGGGCTTTACAATTTCTGCTCTTTCCAGTGTTGCGCTGGAATCCACCATTATCGCGCTCTTTATTTCCTCCGACTTCCATTCCAGTGATTTTCTTGCTTGCCTTACCCTAAAAAATTCCATACAACTAAAGAGGTGGAGTTCATTGTGAGAGCGAACGTGGCTGTGCCATTTTAGACGATGTTCCGTGCATTGGTATGCTTTTTGTTTTTTTTTTTTATGCTCTAACAGGCACATGCATAAGCTTGAGCTTGGCTGAGCTTGAACGGCTTGCAAAGCTTTGTACCACGGTTTCAAAGACGGCCAGCCACGACATTCCTTGTCGTAAGCTCTTTTTTCTCTTGTTCTCCACAGTTTTTCAAAGGTAGTTTCTAAAAGAGGAGCCTTTGGGGAATCAAAGTATTCGTAACTGGAGGTATGGGAGGAGTTCATCGACAGAGCGTCAAGTAAGCCCAATGTTGTGTCTTTAACTTTGTTTCTATTAAGCTATGGACGTGTCCTCAGACTTGACAGAACTGGGTAAAACTCCTGTTGCGGTGGTTTGTGCAGGGGTAAAATCAACCCCTGACATTCCACGAACACTTGAATACCTGGTAAGACCATCGTATAGCGCACGGGTGTTTTACTATGAAACAATTTGCAGGAAACTCAAGGAGTGACGGTTGTTAGCTACTCAACTGATGAATTTCCAGCATTTTTTACTCCTAACAGTGGCTGCAAAGCACCTTGCCGAGCAGACAGCGTGGAGGAATGCGCAGACATCATAGGTAAGCTCTAGCCATCGTGGTTATCGATTCTAACTTGACACTGCAGAGGCAAACACGAAGTTTGGATTGGGTTCAGGCATTTTGATCGGGTACCCGCAGAGCATGCAGCGGCAGCTAAGAACGTGGAATCGGCCACACAATCGGCATTGCATGAAGCAGAGTACGTCTCAGTGACTTCGCTCTTGGTATTCCTACGTGTTTTTTTTTTATAGGAGCAGAGGTATTGCTGGTAATTCTGTGACGCCATTCTTGCTCAAGCGCGTCAACGAGCTCACTGGAGGCGATTCATTGGCTGCAAGTATCCTTTTGTTTGGTAGTCCTCTTTTGGTAGTTTTTCTTTGCTACAATTGACAGATATCCAGCTCGTGAAGAATAATGCACTCGTTGGTGCGAAGATTGCAACTGCTCTGACAACAGCTTTTCTAAATCGTCATGACACTCGGCCCCGATTGGTAGAAATGTTGTCCACAAAACGCGTACGTGACAACACTGTTTCTTTTTCCCATCTGTTGGGTTCACCACTCCTTGCCTGTTTTTTTCTTTTTCTTTTCCTGTGCTTTCAACAGATTATACTTCCCGCGGCATGTCGCTAGTGGCAACGGACAAAACACCACAGCTGTTAATGCCAGACACGGAAAAACTAATTTACTTGAAAGTGAGGTACTTACGAGGTAGAAACGATCAACATCAACACGTTTATTGGTTTTGAATTTCGTCTTGCTTTGCTGTATTGGATCACAGATGGGCAACGAGCTCAGTTTTTCTCACGAGAAACTTCTTGCCACACAGCCAATCCTCTCTTGCCATTCGAGCCTCGCTCGCGCAGAAGCTTCCTCCTATGGCGACCTTACTCTCTCTTGAGCTGGATCTTAGTAAGCCTCCAAGGCTGCAACTCATGCTTCTTCCTATCACGCGTTTATTCCGCGGCAATGGCAACATCTATAAATCTCCATCACCACTCCAGTGGCAACCATTGCAAACTCCAGTATTCGAAGTTTCATCCCAAGCCTTCGATCATACAAGTCTTCTGTTCCTACCAGGAGTTTCGATCGAGCAATGGGTGCTCTCAAAGTCATTGCATTGCTGTTGTTGGTCGAGCTTGCGCTCTCTGCTCGTCTCCCACCAAAGTCAGATGTTTCTTTCTCTGAGAACTACTATGTCCGATGGGCTAATGATCATACGCGAGTGCTCAACGGTGGCAGCGAAATGCAGCTTGTTCTCGACAAGGCTTCAGGTAACAATCCCTGTCCCAAGCTTCTGTTTTGCTGATCAAGTCCTGTTGCATGATAGGTGCTGGATTTGGGTCCCGCAGCAAATACTTGTTCGGTCATATCAGCATGAAGATCAAGCTGGTTCCCAAAGACTCTGCTGGAACTGTGACGGCATTCTACATGTCCTCGGAGACCGACAAGCACGATGAGATCGACTTTGAGTTCTTGGGGAACGTTTCCGGGCAGCCATACATCGTCCAGACCAACGTTTTCGCCAATGGCGTTGGAAACCGGGAGCAGCGACACTACCTCTGGTTCGACCCCACTCAGGACTTCCACAGCTACTCCGTCCTCTGGAACAAGCAGCAGATCATGTAAGTTTTTTGCTAACACTTTTCGATAATCGCTCAAACTGTGGTTTTGGTCCCCCAGATTCTATGTGGACGATGTCCCTCTGCGTGTCCACAAGAACAACGAAGCCATCGGGATCCCATTCCCAAAGAGCCAGCCAATGGGGATCTACTCGAGCCTGTGGAACGGAGACGACTGGGCTACTCGCGGCGGCCTGGAGAAGATCAACTGGGATCACGCTCCATTCGTCGCGGCGTACAAGGGATTCAGCGTGGATGCTTGCGCAGGGGGTGTGGAGTCGTGCAGTGCTCCCAAGGGCAACTGGTGGGAGCAAGAGGCATTCCAGAGCACCGACGAGGAGACCAAGAGCAAGCTCAAGTGGGTCAAGGACAACTACATGATCTACGACTACTGCACCGACAGCAAGAGGTTTCCGACGACTCCCGCGGACTGTGGCCAGTTTTGAGAGCTTCCATGTACTTACATTCTTTTGTACAGCACTATTCTTTTGTAATAGAAAATGTTCTTTTATTTTTTCATTTGGGTTCTTCCACACATTAGTTTAGACAGCCAAGGACGACCATCCAGGTAATGAAGAACATCAGAGCTTGTTCAGATTGTCACATGGCTTCCAACATTTCCAGGATCTCAAAGAGGAAGATTATTTTGCATGATTTGACGGAGTTTCATCACTTCGAGAATGGTGCTTGCTACTAGTAAATTTAGAGGCATCTTATTTCGCTACCAAGTAATTCTCCAAAATTTAGGATCGTTTGGTAGATTCTAGACCATGGACAAAGATGGTTTCATCAGACATTATTGACGTCAAAGCAAGCGTGATGCCCAACATCGAGAAAAAGAATCTTTTACGAACCATGCAAAGAAACAAGAAGTCGGGGATTAAGGCAACATGCATTGGGTGGGAGGAACGCTGAGCCTAGCGACCAGAACTATAAGAACAATCGTCCACAGGTGGCCAAGTGGGCGATGTGAAATCGCAGGGAAAAGTCAGCCTTTGAATTATAGTAGTAAGCAAAATCTGAGTTTGGTTGGTATTTTTTACAGGGTTTTAGTTCTGCGTGGTTTTTTTTTATGCCTATGCACCCTGTATCATCACCTTGTAGCCGCACTTCTACTGATAAGACAAATTTACTTGGGAGACTTCGGTGATAAACGATGTGAGAGCGACAAAACACCCCCCTGTTTTTTACTGTGAGCCTTTCAAGGACTTGGTTGTGGATTACTGATCTCAGAATCTTGAGGACACTGATATGGTAATATTCATATCAGCGGGGTTTGACTTGTACATCGATCCCTGCTGCTCTTGGAACGCGAAGTGCTGCCTTAGCATGTGTTTTAGCACAGTCTTTTACAGTTGGTTGGATAATAATTGTTTGCAGGGTCTAGGGCAGGGCAGATTCAGGGACCACAGCAAGTACTTCATTGCAGTCATCCTCGATAAAGTTGCTCATGAAAAATGAAACTTCATAAAAACAAAAAAAAAGGTTGGAAGAATTAAAAATGCAGCAACCCGACTTGATAACTTTGATAAAGGCGAGAGCATCAGATATTTTTATAAGCATCGTTGACTAAATAGTCAACGGCAGTTTGTCTAGCTATTCCGCGCAGTGAACAAATTCTTGGAGAACTAAACTATCCAAGGATGTGTATGAGCGGATTCTAGATTGTTTTGATGAGTTTGATTATTATAAAGGTCCATCACAAGGTCCTGAGTGAGACGGTGCCAAGCGCTGGTCGCCCTGAGAGCAGCGCTTGTGTAGAAGCCTTGCAAGAGACAGGTGTCTACGCTCGCTACTTTTGCTTGTGGCGAAGTGGAGTGGACGACGGACGAACTCAGGGAGATCGCAGTCAGTTGTCTCGGCTCGTCATGCAAGGAGATCCACGTGAGTTTGAGGCATGGAACAAGAGAACTGCTCAAAATTTTGTATGAAGAAGGGGATTCTCTCAAGACGCTTCTAATGACATCGTTTTGGCGCATCACACTTTCGCAGGCAAGACCTTGTTCCTACAGGTTTAGATCATCACTAATCGCCTCCAATCAAGGTACGTTCTCTTTAACAGTTTTTTCTCAGCTTGTTTTGTGTTTTTGCTACTTTTTTTCTGTAGCGCCAAGGATTGCAGGGCATGAACTCCATCATAGTTGAGGTGGTACAATCGATGCCATATGTCACAACATTGCTGGATGTGACGAGTTATGGCCGCTCGTAGTCAAAACTGCTGTTCAGCCCGCTCTTAATTTGGTCAACAAATAATTTATTCGAAGCTCGCGGCCTTCTCTAGAAACAAGAATGCAAAAATGTACTAAAGGGATACCATTACTCACCTTTGATTTTCTCTCCTCGTCACAGGCTTAGTATATCGTGATCTACTCTTCCATTCCTGTTAAAACAACTTTCATGGAGGCACCAAAGATGGCAAACAGAAAAGCAGACATCACAACTGAAGGGTTCCGAGTTGGAAAGTTACTCCAGGTCTTACCCTGATAATCCAGAAAAAACACCTATTCTTATCCGGAATCATGAAGGTGCCCTTGTAGAAACAAGAAAGTGTTCCTGGTTGTAAGGAAAGCTTGCCTCCTTAACAAATCTCTTTGATGCACAGTCCAACCTTATTAGCATCATCTTCACAACCCCACGATCTGCTACTATAGCCACAATGAAAAACTGGGGTGCTGTTGTTACCACCCAATTGGCCAAACCAGCTCCCATATGTGGATTGGATGATGACCACTCGATGGACCATCTCATTTCTTCCATGTTGAAGCTCAAAACCAAGCTTTGCTGTATGAGATGAGCCAGGTAATCCACTTGGTCCCACACTCCTGATCTTGAGTCATATACATGCAATCGCTCTTCTGCTATACAGATCCAGTACCGCTGCATGGACGGTTCCAATACCAGGGCAGAATGAAGACGCAGGAGTATATGCTTGAAACCTCTTTTGAAAACCCAGATGTGACTGTAGACATCCTGACGGACCCAATCCTTGTGTGCTTCAGATCCAGCAACAAACGGGTTGCAGCTGTAGATTTCCTCACCATTTCTAGTTATACCCAAGACACGAGGAGGGAGTAGATGCTTGCTTTTAGAGTGGTATGCTGAATAAAATTTCACAAATCCTAGTGAATCTACAAGATCTTTCCATTGTTTGCACACAGTTCTAATGCGGTAGTTCAAAACAACTGTAGGCAAGCACTTAAACACCTCCTGCTCATGCCTTCGACGATTGATTGGAAGCTTCATGCCTTCCACGTGCTTGCTGAGTTTCTATGGTGCTAGATGTATAAAATTTTATATGGCATGATTCTATGGAAAGTTGATGGCACCTTAGTGGGGAGCCAGTACAAGTCTTTAGAATTTGTTAATTCGCAAATCTCCTCGATATGAACTGGATGCGTGGGGTCTAGGTGAGTGTTTTGATTACAATTGTTTTCTAGAAGGGTCCCTATAGGATGCTTGACATACGAGCTATTCTTGATGTCAAAAACAGAGGAGTTACGAAACACAGCACCAATTCCCAAGGTTTGTGTGCTGGAGTGATAGTGGTATTAACATCACTTTGCAGAACTTGTTGCTCGATTATCAAAGGTTGTTCTCAGCCCCACGACGCTTCAAAGTTGATAGAAAACAGTGGTAATATTATCGAGCACTATTTTCTATTTACTCAGTTGGATGCGCAGATTTCTTTCAAAATAAACTTCTGGAAACAATCCTGGTCGGTTGACGCAAAGAACAATAACCTGTGAAAAAAATGTCAGTCACCTTACAAATAAGGATAAAATGCAGAACGACGGTGCAGAGTTGCCAATCAAAAACTTGCCAACAGCTGCTGCGGACCCAAATTCCATAACTGAAGCCCATTGGAAGAATCTGGTCGTGAAAAACTGAGTCCAGTACTATCAGGGAAATGCTGTACCTTTTTCGAAACTATTTGACGAAGATACTATTTGAGCAAGTTTATTCAAGTGATCAGTATGGAAATTTTTTTCATCTCAACTCTTGGATGAGCAAGTTGAGTTGTGCATTCAGTCGAATTTAGAAACTTAAAATGCCAGCACGGGCTTTTTTCGCAGCGACTGGTTTTTAGAACACTTGTGCGTTGCTACGGGAACTAACGTTGAAGTTCTTGCATTAAAGATATTTCTTTAGTCTCCATTGTAGGACCATTATGACTGCCATTCTGAAAGAAGTTAACCATTACGGATCTCTGTTGAAACACTTATCGAAATTGCAGGTTCCTTTTTCTCTTTTATTTTTCTTAGTCACTATTCCTTGTTTGAGGTTGATGAAGAACATGAACACTGCTGGCCTTTTTAATGTAAGTTCTCGTTTTGTTCTTCAAATCAAGTTACATTTTTCATGCAAGAGTCTCGATCAACGCATTCACGGTGAGGGCTCTAAGGGATGGATTTGCTCATGCAAGGGGTGCTGGTATGCATTTGAGCTCTCCCCTGACAAAGTATAATGGCACAAGCCAGTAACTACCAGTTGCTACTCTGGTGCTACCCAGTCTTGTCCATCTTATATTCTAGTTGCTTAACTGGTCCAGTGATGTGAGGACTAAAGCCTTTGAAGCTAGAATTAACTTTATCAAAAATCTACTTTGGAAAGTATAGAATTGGCACAAGATGTGTGGTAGAAGGGCACTCATAAATATCTACTATATATCCTGCAAGTTGTTTTTGAGCTGGCTTGAGTGAGAAACTTTAACATTTTACCTTTCTATATGCTAAGAATGCATTTTACAACTTTATATAGCTTTTGGCAAGAAGCAGATTGAACTATTATGGTTAAGCCTTGCAGTTCATATTTGCTTTAATTCTCTTCTTTCCTTGTTTTCTCAAGAGTATTTAAAGATTCGAGATTGGGCTTGTCACATGGCAGAAAGAAAACATGTATACAAGATACATGCTCCATTTGACTTGAGTTTGGTTTGCTTGTGGGATCCTATTGAAAGAGCACGTGGAAATTGTTTATAGTTTCAACAATCCTTATCAATAGTCAATTTACATAAAGCTTTTCTAGCATTACACAAACATAAATTTATTCACTGGGCTTACAATTAGAATTTTCTCACATAGGGTTGATCAATCCGTTACTTGGGTGAGTTTTCAAGTGCCTTTCTTCATGATTGAATGTTGTTTATACTTAAGCTGTTTTTTCCCCTCTTGCTAGGAATGAATTTACAGGTGGAGGAGGGTGCTTACTAGTATCTTGTGTTAAAAGAGACATTAGGGTTCTTTGGAACTTCAAGAGATATAGTCTTCTTGTTTGTTTGCTTTCTCCCCTTGGTTCTCACTATTTTAGCAATGTAGTGCTCACAAGCTAGTGATGGCAAAAATGAGGAGCCAAAATCTAGATTAGTGATGTACAGCTTGATTAGAATTATAATATTTACCAATTCTACTTCCTTCCATTTTCTTTCTCCTCAATTTTGCTTTGTTACTATTTCCTTTTTTGTTTTTAGATGAACCTTAGACATCCTTTACTGTAAGCAGTTATTAATTTTGTTTCCAAAC